CCAGGATAACCCCCCAAGCCCCCCCAGGACCCCCCAAAATCCCCCCCAGACCTGGCGGGCGACACGAAGGGGACGCAGAGCAGCAGCACCAGGAAAACCTCCGCGTACAGGAACGTGGCCACCGCCGTCCACTGCAGGCTCATGGTGGCCTGATGGGGGGTTGAGGGGACGATTTGACCCCAAAACCCCCCAAAAAAAACCCAAAAGACGCCAAAAATCCGCCCCTCCCCCCCCTCCGCTCACCCCGCTCCCAGCCCGGAACTGCCACCGGAAGTCCCGCCCACTTTTGGGAGGAATGGCCAATCGGAACGCGAGAGGGGTGGCCACAGCCAATCAGAGCGGACGAAACGGAGGGGAAGTGAAGCCGCTTCCGGCCACCATCTTGCCCTGCCCCGCCCGCTTCTGTCATGACGGCGGGTGCGGGACGCGATGCGGGTGGGGAGGGGGAGGGGGGCGAAAGCGAAAACGGAAATTGAAAAGGGTGGCGTCCGTTACCTCTGAAGGGTGGCGGAAATCGAGGAGGGGCCGTCCGGTACCGGCAGAGCGGGCGGGAATTGAGGGGGGGGGGGGAACGCCCGGTACTGGCGGAAGGTGCGGAAAAACGGTGGCGAGACCGGGGGGGGGGGGGGCGTCACGCGACCCGCGAGGGCCAATGGGGAGCGCCGTGGGACGGTCAGCTGAGCGCGCGGGGCACGCTGGGAGTTGTAGTTCACCACGTGACTCCGGCGGGCCAATGAGAAGGGTCGGTGTTTTGGTCACGTGATCTCCTCCCCCCGGGGCACGCCGGGAGTTGTAGTTCGTCCCCTCCCGCTTCCCGCCCTTTTTTAAAAACGTCGGAAACTTTACGAAACTCGCGTTGTTTGTAATTATAAAACGTCTTCCCCCTCTGAATCCCGGCGGTGATGAAGTTGGGGGGAGGGGGGGGGAATTTACACGGCATTGTGTCCCCCGCGCAGGCCACGCCCCCGCCGTAGAAGCCACGCCCCCTCCCGAGCAAAAATTTATTACGCCCTTATTACGCCTAAAAACGCCCAAATTAAGCCCATATTAAGCTCAAATTAAGCCCAAAATATGATCAATAACCGCGTTTGGAAAGCGTTCTATTAACGTGAACTAAACCAACTCAGAACCTCTGTAACAATTCCCAAATATCCACGAAGATTTGGTTGCAGAAACTTTAATTATTGAGAACAGTGACGACTAAAATGTGCCTTAAATAATGTTGCCCTAAAACCAACCGGCACAGACGTTTGCGTGTACCAGTATCTACAACTGCGGGTTTTTTTAATATTTATAAATTTCGCTTTTTTAATTACAAACCTCTGTGAGTGGCGATAACTACGGTATTACGAATTCAAAGAATTTCAATTTTCAATTGCAATTGGCGAAGATCTCGCGGTGAGCGAAGCCTGCAACCAGCAAACAGCTGCGCAGAGAAACAGCAGCAAAAAAACTCCTCTCCCACAGGAAAAGACAAAGCAGCAACCAGGCAGTCTCTCCTGCTCGCTGCTGCCTCCTCCTCCCGCTCCAGAGCTGAGCTCCAACCCCCAAACCCCACCCCTTTCCATACACACACTCTGGCCTTTTCCCAGTTCCTCCCCACCCCTTTCCATACACACACCCTGGCCTTTCCCCAATTCCTCCCCACCTGTTTCCATACACACACCATGGCCTTTCCCCAATTCCTCCCCACCTGTTTCCATACACACACCATGGCCTTTCCCCAATTCCTCCCCACCTGTTTCCATACACACACCATGGCCTTTCCCCAATTCCTCCCCACCCCTTTCCATACACACACCCTGGCCTTTTCCCAATTCCTCCCCCCTCGTTGCTGGGAGATTAATGTCTCGGTCATTGAGGGCTCAGGCCAACTCCTTTGTTTATCTGATGGCCCATTAACACACACATGCAGGAGGGGGAAAGGGGAAAGGAAAGACAAAATTCCTTGCTATAATCAGAACTGTGACATTGCCCTAAAACCAACCGGCACAGACGTTTGTGTGTACCTGTATCTACAATTGTGGGTTGTTTTTTTTTTTAATATTTATAAATTTCGCTTTTTTAATTACAAACCTCTGTGAATGGTGATAACTACGGTATTGCGAATTTAAAGAATCGCAATTTTCAATCAACAATTATTATTTTTGAATGCGCCCATGAAAACGCTTTTAACGGCCTTAAAGGTGGGGAGTCCCCTGTGAGTCCTTCGTGCTCCTCGTGGGAGTCCCTCGGGTGTCCTGGAGTGTCCTGGAGTCCCTCCCATGTCCTGGAGTGTCCTGGTGTGTCCTGGAGTGTCCTGGAGTCCCTCCCGTGTCCTGGAGTGTCCTGGTGTGTCCTGGAGTGTCCCAGAGTCCCTCACATGTCCTGGTGTGTTCTTTGTATGTCCTGGCATGTCCTGGTGTGTCCTGGAGTCCCTCCCACGTCCTGGAGTGTCCTGGAGTGTCCTGGCATGTTCTCCTGTGTCCTGGCGTGTCCTGGCGTGTCCTGGCGTGTCCTGGCGTGTCCTCGTGCGAGCCCCTCGTGGATCCTCGCGTGTCCTGGCGTGTCCTCGTGTGAGTCTCTCTGGGTCCTCACGTGTCCTTGTGAGTCCTTCGTGTGTCCTCACGTGTCCCTGGCGTGTCCCTGGTGCTTTCCTTGTGTCCCCCCCGTGTCCCTGGCGTGTCCCCCTGCGAGTCCTTCCCGTGGGTCCTCGGGCGAGTCCCTTTGGCAGCAGCAGCTCCTGCTCCTCGTGTGTCCC